ACCCATGACAATCTTCAGTCTAAGAAGAACGCTTATACTACCTGAGCTATACCAGTTGCATAACATACTGCTCCAACCATGGATGGTCTTCAGCTACTACTATAAGGTAGACAATGACTGATTAGGAGTTTTGTTTGCTATAGTCTATTTTAGCTACATACATAAAAGTTATGAGCGAATAAGTGATGGCTAGCACACAGAGAACGTCATGCCATCCAGTCCAAAGTGGCTATCATAGCCTCTAATGGAGAGGAAGTGCGCCAGGGCCAGCGATAGGTCTCAAAAATTGAGCTTCTTGCTGCAGTACAAGAAAATGCCAAGTCTCATGTGCATTGTCGGTAAAGTAAAATTGCTGATGAAGAGCTGGGTAAAATGAGTCGGCCAAAGAGCCACATGAGCATATATATGGCCATCATCTCGTATAGTCGTAACAGGACACAAGACACTGAGCATATGTGGCATATAGTAGTAGACTATATCTGCAGAAAGGGTTTCTACTGACATCTCATATGGACATTTCCTGCTCCTACGTAGTAGCATTCAGATGTGTTTCACAGCTCAACCAGTTTGCACAAACACAGCTGTCAAGGACCAAGTCATGGAGTCTGTGTGCCTGTGGAGACCCCTGTTCATATTCCTTTGTCACTGTGCATTACCTGGAGGATGAGAGTAATCATATGTAAACTGTTTGAAAGAGTGCAGAAAACTTCGCCCTGTGCAGGTTGCGTGGTACAACTACCACTGCAGTAGTGCCAGAAGGAATCGAGCCAATCAATGGATCTGACATTTCTATGGGATGCACAATACCCATACAACATTTTGGGAGTGTCGTACTGTGGCATATACTCAATGGAAGGTGGTGGCAGCAGAAGTTAGTTACTTAGTTGACAATATCTCACCTGACATTCAACTGGAACGTAACTGGGCAGCTCGGTTGGGCACTGAGGAGTAAAGAATGAACTCAACCATTCAAGAGACTAGTGGCCTCTCTCATTTCAGGTGTACCGCTCCTTGAGTCACCCCAGCCGTCTCGTGACTGCCAGTGAGTTGACTTGTTTCTCTGTCTGTCCACAATGGGGCATCGTGCTCATCTGTAACTGTCTTTGCAGATACTTCCGCAGTGTTGGTGCTAAGCGATGATCCATCAAAATAGCTAACGACACTATTCAGATCAGTTACTCCTTCATGTACCTCGTTAAATACGCGACAGTCCATGTTCCTCTGACGAGGAGATGGAGCAGCAGCGCACCCCAGCTACTACAACACGTGGCACCAGTGGTGTTAGCCACTATCACCTGAGTGGTCCATGTTGCGGGAGGGCAAGTGCGCTTGCTAGACACCGGTGAGTATCCACCACAGTATTGTAGCGACGAGATGGCCCATCATTAGCAGCAAGTGGACCAACAGAGGACTCGACAGAGGATCGCCCGCGAACACCAGGACAATTTCGCGTCTAGCCCTGGCCTGCGCACCATTGAGGGCACAAGCTGAGCCGATAACATTCAGCTTTGTGTATCTGACCAGTTCCTCATGCACGAGAACAGACACCTGGTCATGTGGTAAGGAGGAGTGGATTGAGCTAGGAATGGCTCTAAGTTTGGCGATTAAGACGGACAGCGTATGTCTGTTCCATCAACAACCTTCAGAACAGGACAACAGTGATCGAACAGAATAGGTATAGCTATGAATACCGTCCCCTTAATATCACATCACACATGCATGTATTCTTTGATACAGCTCACTTCATCACGGTTTTATGTTAAAAACACAAACCCTCCTCCCCCAACCCCCAACAACCATCTCAGAGTATGTGCTTTGCTGATATTAGGATTGGTGGCTGGTGGACTGTTCACAGGTATCTAGGACCCTCTCACTCACACGTGTTGGTCGTGTGCATAAGGAGAAGGATATATATCTGCTCTAAAAGACAATTTCTACGACACAGTCCCACCCACGACCATTCTCGGCCATCAGACAGTATGACAACAGTGCATATGGATGCCTGGAGCAAGCATCCCAGGAAAACTCGGTGTTTTCACTGCTCCAGAGCCCAACACGTCCCAACGTTTGTATGGAGTCTTAGACTCTCCACACCTCAAGCAGTAATGACTATGAGCTTAATGATACTCTAGATCTCAAAATATGAAGAACCACAGTTACTAAGCCTCAACTTTGTTTAGTTACTGTTTGTGTGTGAGATTAACGTCACAGGTGTGTTACACAATTATCCCTATCATAATATATAGTCTGATGTATCTGCTACAAATCCTCGACGCACTGCGCATGCGCGGTTCCGTATTCCTCGATGACCGATCCAAATCTCTACTCTTCATCCCACAGGAGGAAGACTCTACAGTATCTTCCCTACCTTCGGAAATCCCTATTACTCGCCAAGGTTTTACTCTCCTGGGTGATGTCCTACTGCTCCACTTCTTCTGCGAAGCATCACTTCTGCACCAGGTTGAGAGGATCAAGGCTGCCCTTGGTCGACTGGGCGATCCTCAGCTGGAGACAACATTGCTCCGATCCTGTCTGTCTCTTCCCAAGCTTTCCTTCACCCTTCGTACATGCCCCCCTAGTCACATCTGTCATGCCTCAAGTGAGTTCGACCAAGCTGTACGTGAATGTTTAGAACATATCGTTGGTGGACCCATCTCCCAGTGGTCTTGGCTAAAGGCTTCACTGCCTAGCAACCGCGGTGGGCTCAATCTGTGGAGTGCTGCGCTTCACGCTCCTGCTGCCTTCGTTGGGTCTAATCAGCGCACATGTCCTTTGGTGGAGAGGATTTTGGGGCATCCGCCTGGCCCTTCACCTCACTTGTCTCCGGCCGCAACTGCGCTTGCCTCGGCTGTCAACCGATCTGACTGGGTCGATCTAGACTCCATCGATATCCCCATCCGACAACATCCTCTCTCTGTGTCCATCGACGAGGCTGTCTATGACCGCCTCACCTCAACAGCTCCTGATACTCGCTCCAGAGCCTTGGTCCTTTCTTCCAGGCTTCCCCACGCTGGAGACTGGTTGAATGTCGTTCTTCCGCTTCCCTTGGCCTTCACGTCCATGATAAAGAGCTCCGATACTCTTTGAGATACTGGCTGGGGGTCCCCCTCTACGGGAATGCCTATCAATGCCCTGCCTCAATGCAGACACAATGGGAGACCATCAAGTCGGCTGTGGGGGAAACGGGGATAGGATCATTAGAGATGTCCTGTTTACCGCAGCCCAAACAGCTGCCCTGGGCCCAAGAAAGGAGGCTCCCGGGGTGGTCCCCAATTCTAGTGCTCGCCTGGCCGACATTCTTTTGCCTAACTGGTGCCGTGGCAGACAAGCAGCCCTGGATGTAGCAGTCATATCACCCTTGCAGCAGCTGACTGTATCTGAAGCAGCAGTTACCTCTGGTCATGCTCTTGATGTGTGCGTCAGATGTAAACTCTCTGCAAATCTCCCTTCATGTCGTGCTGCTGGGGTCGAATGTGTGCCTACGGGCTGGGCTCCTGGCTCCATATCTACAATCAGAAGAATAGGAAATTTCCTCGGGCAAAGAGTTAATTCTGTAGACTCGTCACACTCTATAAAACACCTGTTTGGTCGTCTCGCCATCGCTCTCTGGCGTGGTGGGATGCCGGCTTCGTCGGACTCCTTCTCTAGCACCATCTTCTGACGGTCTTCCTTAAATTTCTCCTTCTGTCGTACAATCTAAACGGTCGTTTTTCACAATATTTTTTATTTTGTTTCCCCCCCCAAACTGCTGTGCATTATTACTGTCACTTTCAACTAGTATATATGCGTAGTCCCAACGCTAGCTGGCGGAGAGTCGGATATGGGCTACCTTCGCTAGTAGATAGCATGTGGGAGGCCTTCAATTGTGACATATGCTGCCTCTAGGGTGCACAGAGCAAGCGTATCAGGACAGGGTAGGCGAACGATTGCGTGCGCGCGTGCGCGTGGACCAATATACGTACGCATGCGCACCGCTAATTGATGGGTTGGGCCACGCAACGCGTTCCGCGACCGTGCCAGTTTCTCGTTCTTGAACGCAGTCGTTTTAGCAAAATCGCCATTATACTCTTGTAGCACGGAAGCTGTTGGTATCGCTCAGAAGCCACCTCGTAGCCTATATATATAGTGCGAGAATAGTCGTAGACAGACAAACACAGTACTGCAATACCGAGGCACTGTGTACTTGGTGGTTCTCTTTTTCTTACATAAAAAACGTTTCTTATAGAGTAACGATTAGTGCACACCTAGTGAAGTGAATGATAAAATTCCCAGCTTGAGAACTTGCATTGGGCAGTGGGTTAAAGAGTTTTTTAACGTAAAACTAGGACATTATTGCTAGGAAGTGGTCCTATGGTTCTTGAAGAACAGCTGGTGTTTCTTCTCCAAAGCTCTTTTCTCCGAGTCCTACACCAGTCTACTTCTCCGTGATAGAGGCAATGGAGAGAGAGAAACCTATAACAAAAAACAAACAATTATTTTAGTATAGCATCCGGATGCTCAACATAGCTATTATGTTGTCACTGGTCATGTTATCCATCTACAAAAATCTGTCTCAAAACACCATAATAGCATAGATAAATCTTCTATAGCTTTCAATTGAAGTTTCCACAGCTTTTCGGTGAAGCAATGCACACAACATGGCAATTGTTATTCTTCTCCACTCCAAACGGTAAAACTGTTCAGCTGTTGTAGTGGTGGTCCACTGTAAAACACCTTGGCTACTCTGCCCCTCTACATGCAAGGAATTTTCTTGCCTTCGGTTGACAGCTATTTACTGGCCCCTTTCACAACAATATACTATGTTGACAGACCACACATTAACTAGTGTGTATCTGCTTGTGAGCCGTAGCTACTGAGCACGAAGCTGTTGTGGTCGTCACAACACACATTCACCTGCAATGTTAATGCGATGATAATTAAACCCTTTGTGTTCTAACATTTATCCTGTATTATAATAATTAACTTTCTCTTGATTTGTTGTGTTAAGCTTTGCCATGCTCTTTTTCGTAACTAACAAGTAGAAAAGTAATTATTCTAACGAAAAAAGCTTTTCTCTGTACTGAAACACATAGTATAACCATTGCCAGATACTTTCAAACTCCCAAACTCCCAATGTCAACGCGAAAAGGCAAGCAATCCACTGCTCATCATTCCCACATGAAAACACAAATATAAGTACATGACAGACTACCTATATAATTATACCGAGAAGGGTCTTCAGCTAGAGAGAAGAGGCTGTGAGGAACACTGACAACATTAGGTCGATTCCCCCACACGATACTCCCAAATCCATAAGATATCCCAATCTGTACACACGGTGATTAAAAATGTTTAAAGAGAAAGTTGAAATAATAGAGGGATCCATTACCTGGAATCTAAGGGTGTCAGATTGTACACTGCGTAGATCATCGCCATGACTGTGTATTAGTAGAGTATGGTTGAGATCCAGGCCCAGAGTGATACCTGACAAGATGACGGTACAGAAACCAACTGGGTGCTTGAGTCACTCTTACCAACTACAAACCCAACAGTTACATCTTCTGGCTCCTTTGTAATATTACACATCCTTCCAAATGCTCTCCTATCACTGTGTGTGGAACATGGATTTATGGGAGTGTAAGTCCAATTATGCAGATATAATAATACGTACATGTATGACAAACTTACCCAAGCCATCTCCTTGCCATATCCAGGAGTGGTCTATTCAGACAGTAGAGACCTCCAACTGCAAAGTCAAAGCAATCACCTGGTGTACCCACGGGGACTCCTGTGGACAAACCCATGACTACTGTACTGGTGCATATAGCACGAATTTATGATGTAGGTGTCAGATTATATTCTGGCAAAATTATTTGTGTCACCTAGCTTCTAACTCTCTTAACACATGCTCATGCCCGGGTAGCAAAACTTATATGTTAATATTACAGTGGACGAGTGCATTTTTTCTTATTAATTCCTGTGTCCTTTCTCTCCTTTTTAGTTTTGCACTCATCTACATAACCTCTTTGCCTGGTATTTAGAAAAAACACATTGTCTGTATATTATAGAGAGGCCTCGGCAAAAGGGACAAGAGATTGTGACATGTTTACGGAAGGAAAGATTGCTACCTTTAATGATGGCTCTTGGAGCTCCAGGAAATGTCCCAGAACGCCCAAAATACACAGGCTGATTGTCAAGAAACATGTTCAGTACATGCTTTAATTCCTCAATGTTGACATGCATGTCATCATCAACATGGCATATCCATCTAGATTAAAAGCAAACAAATCACAGATAAGACGAACCCCATAAAAGACGAAGAAGTCAAGAAGGTGTTTACTAGTAGTGATGAGGTCAACTTCCTTCAAGGGTGTGTTTTACATAATGTGGGAACTCCATTAGCACATGCTAACGCAGCTTCAAGCCACAGCAGTCAAAAACACCTACTGGTAATGGAGCATTCCAGAGAGGAACATTAGTGAAAGTTCATCTCCTGCCTTTTCACATAACCTGGATAATAACAAGATGCCAGGATGTGTCACTTAACAAGCATCCATGCAAACAGCAGGGTAGAGAGCTACTTTGAAGTGTAGGGATCCCTACAAGTTAGCCTCTTGTATCTCTTTCAGTCACAAATTCGGCTTCTGCGCCCGTTCGGCGTTTTTTTCAGATGCATGCGTGATTCTGCCCAAATCGACACACCCCTTTCATCCTGCGCACGCACGCCGTGGCGATCTTTCTTTCTGCCGTTTACACAAAGCCTCAGTGCCTGCCTTTCGGCCTGCTGAGACATTTATGACATGTCTCACTCAATCTGGACCTTTTTTCTTTTTAGAGTATATACTTAAAGGGTAGATGAAAGCAACATCAAAGCTCCGACCGCCACATCCAAGTGCCGACTGACCACTTCTGAGGATGTGTGGGTGGTTTTTATGAGATAATGCCGCCATGCAGCCCGCCTACCAGGTTAAAGTTCACAATTGTGCCGAGTTTTGTTGACGTTTCTAGAAGTGTGTACATTTTGTGACCGAAAGGGATACGCTGTGACTGCACTGAAAGTGGGGCCAGATGTCCAGAGGGGAGGAAACATCTGGCCACAAGTGCCAGCTTCAGAATAGAAAGCAAATATGATCTCCATATCAACCAACAATCCTAGCTCAGATAACATTCAACCTCACTTTATTCATAATCCGGCACCCACAAAATTTATTTTACCTTTCATATCCAGGAATAGATGTCAAAACCCTAATACCTGTTAAGAGAGAAACTGTGACACAAACATCTGTAGGCATAATGCTAAAGGTGGATGCTAGGTCACCTGCTTCTTTGGCTCGGTGTTTCAGTACTCTGTCCTGGCCATCAGTGACCAGAACCACATTGCTCCTGTTGGCAGTGGACAGCCAGGTCTGGAATATGAGAGGCAGCCTCTGATGGTGAAGGGAGGCTGTGGTCCTCACAGTGAACAGAATATGGTTCCCGCTCTTCTGATACGTAGTGTGGTTTATCAACCCGTCCAAATAGCACTCAGCAGGCTTCTTCCACCATATTGTGCTGTTTTCCTCTCTATTGCATGTTCTGGGAAAATTTGACTCAGAGGATAACTCACAAACATGGTGAATTATTAGAGGGCTGATTAATAGTACCTGGTATAAGGAGACATGTTCCTCCACTTATATCTTTTCATGGGTTTAGCCAACACTGAGCTTGCATGAAAATCAAGAGATAAGTTGTCCCATCTTGCCAGTCTCTGGAAAATATCGGGATGTTCCTCTTGTCTGGCTGGGGTATGTATGTCGTGATGAAGTGGTGGTAGTGACACTGCAGTAGGGTTCACTCCAGTAGGGAACAGCAAAGCAACATGGAGAGGTACTATGTTCCTGTTTTCAACTTGGCCAGTGAAAACGTAGTCCACGCTCAGGAATATGTTTGTCGCTGCCGCTAGAACAACAATAAGGCCCAACGTCTTGTGTAAGAATGGTCGTGTGATCCTCATCAGCTACTCACGAGGCCAATAGTAGAAGCATTCACGGGAAAGCCGTTGAACCCCTGTGACCCCTATATAGCCACCCGCTTCACATAAATTTTTCGGCCTATATCCTGATCCTATTACCCCTCATTCGCCAAGCGCATTCCAGGTTCGTATTATCATACCACCCGCTTCACATAAAATTTTCGGGCTATATCCTGATCCTATTACCGCTCATTCGCCAAGCGCATTCCAGGTTCGTATTATCATCCAGCCGGCCTACCGTATGCTCTACGGCAGCTTTTAACGAAAACACCTGGAAATATTGAACTCTGCTGTGGAGGCATCCCACGGGATCCCCGAGCAGCCAGTGAGCGAGCATCTACGTCGTCTTTCCTGGCCTGCCTGGCTCTGCACAGCGGAGGGACCTGCTATTTATCCCCAACGCATCGGAGACTCTGCCGTCGTCACCCTTGTAGAGGTTCGTCTAGACATTGTTGTATGGATTCGGTAGACCCGTCGACAGGCAACCCCCTAACTGTGGCAAAGGCTACCTCAGTCATAGATTTTGCTACCCTAAGCAAGAATCATCTGAGCTGTCTGCTTGTTGCTGATGTGAACAAAAATGTGGTCGCTACACTCAGGACAACTATTTTTTTCCAAAGAAAAAAAGAGCTGCCCTGGGTGGGATTTGAACCCATTTGAATCCATGCGAGCGCTCTACCAACTGAGCTACCAGGGCAACTCATCAGGCAGGGTTCGAATCTACAACTGCAACACAAAGCGCGGCAAAGGCAAGCCTCGAAAACTCTGTGCTATGGCACAGAAACCTGTCACTCAGTATGTAGGAGCAGACCAACTCCAAACTATCTATCTAGGCTTACCTCTCCTTTACACAAAACAGAAGGGACTATAATGAAATACTCAAAATGAAACTGAAACAACTGAACAGTCCGGAAAAAACAAACTGAAACAGTCCGGAACCTAGTATGGACTCTCTTGCGTGAGGGTCTGGTGAGACTAGTAGTTCCTGTGTCCAGGTCTCCCGATTTTGTCAGACATAGCTGGTAGATGTCATCTCTGTCAACATGCCAGCACAGCAGCACACTGGTTATGCACTAACCGTGTAGGCAAGTTATCACACAATTCAGTCAAGTGACGTGTGGGGGCTAGTGGTACATACCTGCTTCACAATTTTTTTATTTCATTATAGTCCCTTCTTTTTCGTTGACAGTCAAGATATGGCCTTCTTTAAAGGCAGCCCTGCATTAGTCATAGTAGCACTAATGCACGAGATTACACCTACATGTATGTATATGGACTTTAGCCCTTGTTGGTTTTAAGATATTGTCTACACTAAAATTATATCCGTGTGAGGTATTGTCATTGGACCAAACACTAATCCACAGTTCATGCTAAGAGAGGGCTGTTGCGTGTTGTGGTTGGCCCCACTTTCACTCAAACCTGCATTTGACATCACTACAGTAGCAGTGTCAATATACAATTCAACTTCGCATGGTATGGTATAGCGCACGTTTTTTATGTCTCCGTTACATCGTCGTACTGCGTAAGTTTCAGAGTTTTTATATTTTTCTATGGGTTTATTGGTCCTTTGAGGCTTTCTATTTTTCTACTGGCTGTTGTTTTTATCCTGTAGCTGTCGTTTTTTTACATGATTTGTATCTATTTATTCTCTAACTATGTGTAAGGGTGGTTGGGACGGAGAGTTGGGCCCATAAAAGACTCTTTAACCTACCGCCCCGGTTCTCAAGGCTGGGCACCCAGGGTCATGCCTCTCTCTTTCTGTTTATATGTTATTGTCTGTGTTTTGTGTGGTTGGGTGGGTGGTTTAAGGGTTCTTTCTTTTCCTCTCATATTATTCTTTTAGCTAAATATGTTTTTTCATGTGCATGGACAGGGCCGCATTTAAGTTTAGACTCTCTCAACATGAGTATAGACACATCTGTGGGGCAAGTACATAGACTTATAAATATGCGAATGTGTCTGCTTTACTAACTGTTCAGGTTGACTAACTTCCATTAGAGCAGTTTTCTAATCTGATAGTGCAATTAGTTACAAAGGAGTTGCCTGTTTCTAATGAGGAAGGAACAGTATTGGATAGTTATGTTCACCCCCAGGCACTCGCCATTTTAGTGCATGCCACACTCTAAGTTGGCTCTACGCCTCATAATGGAAAGCTGAGCTGTACTATTCCGAGTACAGTGAGAAATGCTGCAACATACTAGTATATAGAGACCTGACAAATGCAACCATACCTACATTATGCATAAGCAACCATTGCACCATTTGCTTCCTAAGTACTCTCTCCCACAGGTGCACACTAACTATACAGATATTGGCTGTGTGCTGCCATCCTTTGCATTTATGCTGCCACACCATCCCTATTACTGGACTTTGTAGATGGAGAATGACCCTGGGGTTGCAAATGTGGGGTTAAGGAAGCTGCGAAGCGTCTCTGGCTATAATATATGGCATTCAGAGTTCATTCGCTCACAAGGTAGTCTGGGTTTTAGAAATGACTCACTTTTACCAGGAATCCTCGGAGTTTAATACTTCAGCCAGAGGGTAGGTCTTGTTTAGTTAGTTTAGTACTCACACTACCTGCATTAAAAGTCCCTAAGCTCTTAGTTGCAGGGAGGGGAAAGACCTATGGTGCCCTTTCCCCCTGCCCACAGCCAAACTGTTTCCCCACGTCAACCCCAGTATTTCCTACTTTTGCCAGAAGCCTAAGAATCAATCTAAGATGCCAACCTTTCTGGAGGTTTTCCCCATAAGAAATTAAGATGTGATTAGCAACATTTACACCAGAAGTTTTCCGAAATCCCTGAAAGTGGACTCTTACTGACCTGTGACAGCAACTACAGTAATGAACTTGCCTTATGATGTTCTTATTGATTTTATTGCGTGGTTCATATTGTGTCTGTGCAGTGAAGACATGGAATCTTGTCAATCAGCTTCCGAGCTACCCGTACAGCCTAAAGCTGTGTTTCACGATCACTGTTACTGTCAGTGCCAGTATTAACTCTTGAATGGTGGACTTTTGTGGTGTGATGTTCATTGTCGTGTAATTCACTGTCATGTAATTCACTTTCAATCCCATTATACGTCATGATAAATGGACATGAACTTATACGTGCTCAATCATGAAAATATAGTCATCCCAGGACAATTAAAAGAAAACCTAACTATTAAGGATGACTACGTTGGATGAGGTCTATATCGCAATCTAATGCCACATAACTGCTCCAATAGCCCCAATCAGCAATATTATGTCGTTGCAACGTCGATCACCAGTCTCATGCACTCTAATTCACCGTGAAGGTTATAATATAACATCATGATGTTCATGTAGCAACACAATGACCATACACGAAAAAGTTAGTTAGTTTGCTCTGCTGGGAGAATCTGTGCAAAGTCTCCATCCAGACACGGCTGTTGTTCAGGTGGCTGCAGCTGAGATTAATAAAAGACAACAGATGAATAATTATAGCTACAATAATTATACACAGTAATCTTACAGTAGTAGGGTTCTTGAGGAATTGTTCACGAAGGTATCTCTCCCCTCTCCAAGATTGTATTTCCATTTCTTCATCTGTTTCATCTTCAGTATCGGTGTCCTTGTTATTCTGACTTGGCTCTTCCACAAGACGTAGTGACTCTTCCCCTGGTTCTAAAAGCTGTTTGTGTTCCTCTGGTACTAAGTATTCCTCTGATTCCTCAGTACGTTGTAGTTGTTGTGATACACAAGCAGCACCTGGTTCATCCATAGACCCTTTCGTATCATCCTGCACATAAACAATAAGATGCTCAAAGAAATAATGCATCAGTCAAGGTGTACTTACATTAGCATACGCAATAAAGTTGACAATTTGTTGTTGGCATAGTCTGATACGTTGTGTTAGTAGGCATATTGATCCCAATGTGTAAGTGTCCTGTGCACCAGTGTCTTGAAGGCACTTTCTTGCTTGGAGAAGACAGCTACGTTGAGTTGCGTAGTGATCAGCACAATTCTTCATTTCTGACTGCAGTCGTCCCACTTCTTCCCTGGCTCTTTGTTTTTCATGGTAACAGCGCACTGCATCTTGTTTGATACTGTCAGGGACAGTTGAGGTTCCAAAGGAGTGTGTATAGACAGACAAAGTTGTTGCATCCTCCCACGACATCCTGTTTGTAGTTGATGATTTAGAGTTGTACTCATTATAGTACTTTCTTCAGTTGCCTGGTGACTACAGTGATACGCCTTGAGAGACGAATGGCAATTTTCTGCCCATCTGAGGATGACAGCAAATATAGCTTTTTGTTAGTTGCAGAATACAATATCTTACCTGCATACTTTGACTTTAGCCGGAGTAAGTGTAGACGCTCCCTCACTGCCGATTCAATTTTAGTCATAAGCTCTGACTGACCTGCATACAAAGAGTTCTATGACGTAAACATGAGTGTGTCTTACTGCATTGGGGTTGGACTAAGGTCCTTTCCTGTTGAACCCAACCAACAATGTCTTCATCAGTAAATACAGCTAGGATTACATAAGAATAGAGTGATAAGAATTTGCATATATGTACTAAAGTCTACCTAACGACTTGTTCCGTAGTTCCCTTAGTTTTTGCTCAGCCTCTTGTTCGACACGCTTTGCATGATCTAATCGCTTGTTCAGTAGCTTACCTAAGAGTTAGAGTGATCACATGAAGCTGTGATTCAACAACATACTCATGTTTCTGGCCGTTCTTCGTGCATAATGAAGCAAGGCATCAGTCAATACATCAATTCGGTGAGATGGACGCATTTCTTTTGTCATTGCAGAGAACCTACGGAGGTATGACCACAGTCGCTCTAGTACCTCCCCATCACTTAGACCAAACCCAGGAATACTCCTTGGATTAAACTCAATCTGTGTGGCATATCCTCAACAGTGAGATATACAATCCAGTTTGTATAGTGTTTTACCTGGCAGGCCATCTTATGGCCATATGCATGAAACACAGGAATAGCAAGCTCAACGGTCTCCAGCAAGTCCCTTCGTCCAGCATTCTAAAGTTTACGTTAAGAGTAAAGGCAGAGGTAATTAAAATGAAGCTAACTTACCATTAGATGTTTTTTCAAAGTACAAGCAATGTCATACATGAATTGTATGTGGTGATTACGAAATTTCTCCCTCAATTTCTCGAGTAAAAGCACAGAATAAGAGATCCTGCAATTCAGGGGAGTTTGAAAATGAAGAAAGATACCTGTTTTGCACACTACCTTTCCCCATGTTGAAGGCTAAGAAAACAAATTGGATACTCGTGCCTACATGCTGCTCCCATCACACCAGTTTCATCTAGACGAGAATATCTCGAATTTGAACGGAGAGCATTTCCAGCTAAGAAGTCACTGCATTGCTGTATAAAAAGCTTAATACAACTCGAAAACATAACTGTAACAAACCTGAGTGCCTCTATAAACAGTAGTGGGACAGGAATAATGGGTGATGTAATTAGTAACCATGGATTGATCTAGGAACATTTTTGTTCCACTAAGTGGCCCATGTGAGCTTGATCCTGCTGCTTTCTTTCGACACAAACCAAAGTTTCCATCAATGGAAATTGTCACAGTCCCTTCCGTCTATACGCGTAGTGCACAAGATAGGTAGTAGCTACCTACACAAGATTTTTAACCTTAGGACACGCTGGGCAAGCTGCGGAGACATTTTCACACACACCCTTTAGTGATCGAATCTGTCCTTTGTAGTATCTGTGTAATGTCAATAAAACACCACCCAGAAAACGAATGAATAACCTACCGATATTCTTCAAAGGCATCAATTAGCACAGGGTATATGGTACAGGGCATCTGGAAAAGGATAAAAGTTAATGGTGTATGTTTACTGGCATATAGCACACACCTGCCGTAAACTCGCTGTGATTCTTAGCTCTAGCACCGTAGCAAAATCTTTCACAGCCACCTGACACTCAAGTAACAAAAGCTCTAGCCAGTCCATTAGGGCAAAAGAAAAGGCTACAGCAGGACGTTTAGGAGTGCCTGGCCAATAACGAAGTCTCATCAGTGTCAGTGCATCTGGTTCACACTCACAAAATGTCACTGAGACTGTCTGTGGCATTCCTGTTTATAATAAAACTCAACAAAAAATAAACATTCCCTATAACTTACCTTCTATGTGAAACAACGTAACAGATCGCGGCTTTTGCTTATCACATAAATGCAAATGTTGATTGAAACATAAGCCAGGAACATCAAAAGGAATGAAACACACACCCTAGGCAAAAAAAACATATTTCAATACTGTATATGTGTATATACATAGCACTAACATTCCAAACTTCTGGACAATGATGGAAAAAGGAGGATTTATGCTGTAACACTGCACATCTTGGACAGAAGTATGAACACGGACCACACTGCAAACACCTAACTGTGGCTCTTTCTTCACAGCAGCATTTAACTTCAGGTAACCCAAACCCTTCAGTTAAAACTTGTGTTGCACTAGATCTCAAACTGTCCCACATTTCAGCTAATTTTTCTTTACGTTTGCTATGCGCTGAAACATCCACAGCACCAGTTTCAACAACATTTTCATGGCATATTATTTCCTCCGGAATTTCACGATCCTCCACTGCCAGAGACACATCACTGGAAGTAAGGGTGGGGGTCGGTATCACACAAACTATTTCCCTCCGAACACCAATGCGTGGTCTTCGACTTCGAGTGCGTGATACAAAATTAAGAGGTATTTTGTTACTTCTTCTAATGCGACGCATCGCAGCCATAATCTAGTGGTGTAAAGGGCTGTGTAGACAGAGGTAACAAACCAATCTATGATAGCTGGCTTACTCTGCTCATCCAGATGGGTAATGACACAGTTTCACAAAACCCATGTATCTAGCTGGACGTATGTACCACGACCGGGCGCCGCGTCTAGTATACCAACCTCGACACCAACACTGCACTTGTGGGGCAACAGAGTCACCCGGTGCTTCGTAGCTATGTCTAAACAAACCTCAACAAGTGCACCAAGGGCGACGACGGCAGAGCCTCCGATGCGTCGGGGATAAATAGCAGGTCCCACCGCTGTGCAGAGCCAGGCAGGCCAGGAAAGACGACGTAGATGCTCGCTCACTGGCTGCTCGGGGATCCCGTGGGACTGCCTCCACAGCAGAGTTCAATATTTCCAGGTGTTTTCGTTAAAAGCTGCCGTAGAGCATACGGTAGGCCGGCTGTATGATAATACGAACCTGGAATGCGCTTGGCGAATGAGCGGTAATAATAGGATCAGGATATAGCCCGAAAAATTTATGTGAAGCGGGTGATATAGCCTCGCGGAGCAACGCCTTTCTCAATCCGCGCGTGGGAGAAGGCCTGGTGCATTGGCCGTTCCCTATTGCAGGAATTCCTGCAAGACCAATCAGATTGCAGAATTTGGCAACGTCACGTAAATCGCCCACGCTTTTTCGCTTGTCGCGCGGAACATGATTAGTTCGCGCTGTCTTCTTGATGTTTTTAACTCGAATAGTCTACTGCGCTCCGATCGTCTTTCCCGTCCAGTGTCGACCATGGAAGAGCTCCATGATCTACTGTAGTGACTTGCGGAAAGAAAGAAAACGTCGCTTGATGTCAGTGCACACCTCCGGCGAAATTGGAGACGTTCAGTGAAAAAATCAGCGCTTGAACTGGAACTGGTAAGGAGATAGCGTTTAAAGGAGAAGAAGAATTATGATGACACGAAAATCGTGAAAAATCGCGTATGAGCAAATTCTCGCGTGGACGACTGAAGGTGCGTATGAGTTTTAGTCGTTTTGTACCCGGATCACGTGAGATTTCACCCTTGCCATCCCTATCTACCGACGCTCTAATAATGATTATGTATACATTGGAATCAACAACTAGGCTCATAACTCCAACTAAGTTCAATAATCAGCCTGTTTCCCGTGATGTGCATGTAAATCTACGCATCTGAGGTATTGAAGACTTGTCACGTCTATCTGATTCTCTGCCACCACACGAGTTTGTGGGTTCAAATCCTATACTGGTAGAGCCGATTTTTCTTGTCCTGTCCACCTTTCTTCCTCTCTTTCTGACCACACCTCTTCACCGTTCTTTCAGTCTACCAGGCGTAACATCAGGAGTGAGGTCAGCGGATTAATTAACCTGAGGTATATAACCCGGTGAAGAAAGCTGCCCGCGCCATGCTTATGTGCTTAGAGTACCATAGCGCACTATATTAAGCAATGATGCAAAAGATACTATATACATGCAAGTTTAGCAAGTGGTTTACATTACATTTATGTATTTGGGTGACATCCTATAGAATGCATAAACAACAGCCGAACAAAATATATAACTGGTAGTTAATTTAGCCCAAAATAGGACATAAAATTATTATCACACCCTAGAAGGTTACAGCCAAAAATTGATATTATAGTGTACATGATATGCTTGCACAACCATGGAAAAAAATTCAAAATATCTGAACTCTGTTGTTGGTAAAGTCACATACACTTATAAAACCATTAGCACATGAAGTGATACACCGTGGCTCATACAACTCTCCCTCTTTGACACCACGTTTTCCAAATGAGGTTACAAAATGACCGGATGCCTCATACACTACAATACGATCATCACCGTGATCACAAACATAAACGTACTTGTCGGCAATGTGAAGGCCCGACGGACTGCCCAGCTTTCCCTTCCCTTCCCGGCCAAACTCTCGTAAAAATTTGCCAGTGCTATCTAATACTTGCACCCTTTCATTTCCAGATTCGGTGACATACATATTACCATCGGTGTCAAATTTTAAGCCATCTGGTGCATCGAATTCACCGACTCCATTGCCACGTGAGCCGATAGATCGGATAAAGTTCAAGTTAATGGAAAACACCTGGATTCGATGGTTATCACAGTCACACACGTATACGTTGTTGTTGCGAACTGTAACGCCACGTGGATCATCAAATTCTCCTTCCTTCTTGCCCCGCTGGCCAATGCATTTCAGTAGCTCTCCACCAGTGGTGAACTTTTGCAACCTGTGTTCGCTGGTTACGTAGATGTTATCTGCATCATCGATTGCTAAACCTCTGGGGTATTTCATCTGATGTGGAGCATCACCCCTTGATCCAAAAACTCGGACCTTTTGCCCTCTGCGGTCAAAGACAGATATTCTGTGACTAACCATTTCACTGACAATCATCTCCTCTTGTTTATTAAAGGTAATCCCGTAGGGTGTGCTTAAGCCTGCCACAACCTTCTTTGGCTGACCGAGTTGGCTTGGATGAGCATATACCATCACATCAAAGGGGCTGTTATCAATATCTTTGTTGTCAACTTTAACACGGAGTGTGTGTTTGCCTTGTTTCGCTGCCGTGTAGGTCACATCATATTGGAAGGGTGATGCAGTAACCACAACTACATTGTTGCCATGTGGTTTCTTGGACCATAGCCACCTTTTACTACTAGTGGGTGTTGCTTCATAAACGTGCTCAAGTGTGGCGGTGATATTCTGATGAAGTGAGTATGGTCTACCACTGTAATCACTCAGTTCAACAAGGATGTGTGCTGCTTGATTGACAGTTGCTGATACTAGACCAGGTCCACTAGCTTTAATAATGTAAGGGGCAAGAATCTGTGATAGAAGAAAGACAAACCTAACATAATTATGTATTTACCAGAGAATTGGTGGACATTACATTTTTAACCCTGGTGCGTGTGCACAGCAAGTGTTACTGTACTTGGTCTGTCTGTCTGTCTGTCTGTGTAACGACAATTATTCTGGCACTACAGGCTACAAAGCGGCCTATGAGCCCTCCCTGCAGTTTCAGAGCTTTGAGGGAGAGGGAAAAAACCGATTTCATGAATGGGTTTGGGGGGTTATTTGCTTTGTGTCGTGTTCGGATGCTTTCAGCCCTGCCTGCTTTAATATTGAGCACCCTGAATAGAGATGAGGGTGTTGCGCGGGTTTAGTAATCGTAACTGTTTACATATATAAAAAAAATACAGTTGGTCAGTCTGAAGGCATCCCACTGATGAGTGTATGCATAACCCTGTTATGGGGGACGCAGATGTTGGACACACAGGTTGATTGACTGCCTTTATACTCATAACCCTACTTGCTTTAATTATAATATATACAGTGCTCCTGGACTTTGACAGGGCCATCTAGCTCTTTTTCATGGCTAAAGCATGGTGAGTGGGAATAGTAACCATGTGTGGATGACCAGCCTGGGATTGACTGTTCATTGTAGTAGACCAGGCTTTCCAGGATACTTGTTTGTAGTCTCATGCCCATATGATCCACCCACCGAGGAAAGGAGAATCAGGTAACATTGTTTGGTCTCTCAGATTCGGGATTCACAATCAAGCAGCACATGTTAGTCTCATGCGGTAAAATGAAGGTAATGAATGCACTTACAGAAGCATATTCTCTTGTTGCAATGCACGTCAAGTCTACTCAGTCTGCTTGCGTGAAAAACAAGGCCTAGAAAGATAACGTTCCGTGCCTTGTTGGAGGCTTCTAGACAGTCACAAAGAGGTTCTCTTTCTCACGTCTAGCTCATGGCTGGCTACAGCATGCCTGGAGGTTTTATATTCAGATGCCATTCTGGGATGAAAGAAGACCCTTCTAGCCCACTAGCCCGCATGCAGGAAAGAAGACACGGTAATTGCATTCTATGTATATAATCCGAGAATTATAGAGAGGGGGCATTAGGACCAGGAAAGGTATAACAATGTTACCAGACGCTTCTTTCAGCATCTGAGAACGAGACTTCCTTGTCCGGTTTTGCATGTGCCCCTGAGGTCACTGCAGAGAGGTTACTACACACAAGCCACAAGATTCCTTTGGTTGATGTGATATGTACACAAGGGGGATCAAGTGTCAGGATGTTATAGGGCAGCAGAGTAGGTAGGGGACAGAAGTGAGTGAGATTAGAACATGGTAGCATGATAGTTGTGCTCAATTAGCTACATACTTGTTCCCCTGAAACTTTACCAACGGTCAATGGCTGAACGCACTAGCAATAGAACACTAATGGTTGCTAGAACTTTTGGTGAGAAAGGTTTTAGTGCGTAAAAGTGTGTGTATAATAATATTTATGTCTAACCAAGTGTTTTTGCCTCAGTTTGCAACAAGATCTAGCTACACACAATTCTAAGAAACACGGCTAGGTGCTGACTGTCCACAGTCTTGACTCTTCTGGAGCAATGCCAATAGAGCTGAGTCAGCAATATGATTTCATCATTATAATAATCTTGTGTCTTGCACCTCCAAAACCTACTTTTGCTTAATGCGGAAGTGCTTTAACTATCACATTGCTTGAAGTGGTATCGGTAACTGTCTGAGTGGTTTGTCATTGCTCTACTACTATACGTACACATGCATACAAATGTTGATTAATATCACACTAATTTGACTAATCTATTCTAGGAACCAAATCTCTCCCCTATTCTGTGTGCTGGCACAAGGAGAGGTTATATGTCTATAGCTCTTTGGTTGTTAGATGTATACAGTAGGAGAGCGAGTGCTAAAAGGAGGGTTTCCTCCATGTGACAGAAGTGTCCAAAGATGTTGGGATGCAATGTGAAAAATTGCTATGATCCTTGTGTTATTCATCACAAGGTGTCATTCCTCAGTAAGCTGCTTTGACTTAGCAGTAAGCAAGTACTTATTGCTAAGTCAAAGCATGCACCGTTGTTTGTTACATGTGTTGTTTATTATATACCTTTGCTTGTTGTAGTTGATGTTGCAAGTTGGCCACTAATGCTTCACTGGACTTTAGTTGATCTTCCTGCATTCAGAAAACATAAAGTTTTGTATCTGCATTCACACAAAAAGTGTATAGTTACAAGAGAGTTGCAAGTGTCACCTTCTCATTTAATTGCTGCTGTGTATGAGCCAGCTCCTCTTCCTTGGCCTGCACTCTCTCAGCCTCCTGCACAATGGATATCCAAAATGAATGGCTAGTTTTGACATTAAGCATCCTATTTTATAGATCGCATTGTGTACTGTAAAGCTTGAAATAATAATAATTAAAAAACTAACCTGCTGTTTCATCTCCAATACCCGCTGCTGTTCTTGCATAACTGTCTCCTCTGCTCGTCTAAACTCTGCTTCCTTCACTGTGAGTTGTTCTCTCATTGTCTGCTTCTCCTTCTCACTCCATTGTAGCAATTCGTCCTGCAATCAGTGGCTTAGCTATCCATCAAACATTTGTCTTTCTATAGCCTTACCTTTGCTTTTAGCCGCTCTTGAATTTCAACTAGTTCCTTTTCCTTTGTCCACACTGACAACTGATGACCGGCACTCTCTTTAACCAAGTCTTGGAGAATATGTCCTAAATTCTGTACGATAACACCAAAAGAAGCTAAATTGTGACTGGGAAACAAACACATCGATCTTGGCTACCTGGCTTGTAGAATGGATTTGAAGGGCACTAATGAGCCGAGACTTGTTTTCCTCACTCCGACAGCCTCCAATGCATGCCCTAGCCTCTTCCAAAAGGTGCTGCACCTCTGTGATACTTGGTCTCTTATCAGGTACATTGTGCAGACACTGTGTGATTAACCGAACGAGAGGGTGGCCCTCACGACTCTGGCCTCTAAAACCAAGCTTGTCGTATACACTTTGCATGTATTCACAGCGTCTCTGTAGTTCAGTTCGAGCTGTAAGCAAGCCACTTTCTTGAGCAATGTACGTAGGCTCTAGTGGATCACAGGGAAATTTTTCGCCAATTGTGAAAATGCTGACAATTCCGAAAGAAAATACATCAATGCTGGAGTCGTATTTGGAGTTTTCAGGTTTTGTGGAAGCAGGGGCAAAGGCCTCTGGAGGCATATAAGTTATAGCTCCAGGCCCCTTTGTCATAGTCGCTACAGCTTTCATGCGTGGTACGATACGAGCAACACCTAGATCAGCTATTTTTGCATTCATATCAGAGCTTAATAGGATGTTTCGGGCTGAGAGGTCGCGGTGGACAACGGGAGGCTTTTGGTCGTGCAGGAAGGCCAGCCCACTGGCTACATCGCGCAAAACAGAGCATTTCAGATCAACGGTAAAAAACGTCAATGGGCCGGTTGATCCGCCGAGCGCTATACTACTCGTTTCCGGCTCTAGCAAATCGTGAAGGCTCGTGACCAATCTCTCCATCACCAGGGCGGGCAACTGCGAGTTTGAAAAGAAAAAGAGGCCGAGAAACTGAACGATGTTGGGGTGACGGAGGGAGCTCATTAGTTTACATTCCCTCACAAACTGGGTTGCAGCCTTGGGAATGCGCTTCTCGTCTGTTATGCCCTCCTGCAAGAAAGTGTAGATGGTTTTGGCGGCGGCAGCAACTGGTATCACAACTTCGTCCACTCTGCCATAGGCCCCGCCGCCGATTTTTGTGCCAGTTAGCTGGACATCAGAGAGCACGAAAGGCTTTAGATCGGGATTATCAAGGACAAACTCTTCGGCCATCGCCAGGTCGTATAATAATTTGGACCCCTCTTCTGGTTCCCCCCCGGTCCAAATAATATTCGGACCCCCGAACCTTGTTTGACCCCCCTGAAACAATCGGACCACCTCGCAAAACTGGGACAGCAGTGCATGGGTGCGCAACGTTCAGTCATGTGACCGATAGCTAAAGTAAAAAGCGGAGGACATGCCGTAGACGACATAAACAGCTCCAATGGCAATCAGCTGTAACGCGAAAGCGCGCTCTTTAAGATAAATGGGAGGATAAAGTTGGTTCTCTGCTTAACCTTGTTGTGGGTTTTATATTAGATGTTTAGGAGCTAAGAAAGGTTAGGTTATACGGTGATAATCCAAGCATGCAACTGTCCAAGTCTCAGATGGCTTCTGGGGAGCTGCAGGGTGTCGCTGGTGGAAGGGGTGAGTTGGAGTGTCTGGGAGGTCAGACAGACACCAGTGTCGTGTGCATGTTCGTTTGGTGTGTGTTTGTTCGTTAATGGTTCATCCCATTGCTCTGGTCCATGGTCGATGGCCCTAGTGGTGTGGCTGCCACCTGTGTATTAATATTTTGGTGCTTCTAGCCATGCATCTGACCTCATTTGATTTTCCACTTATTCCATCCCAAAATCCAAATTATTAATAGTGTCCAGTTGCATAACCAGCCGCCAAATCTGTTCCTACTTAACCATGCTTCGTACATATCCTATCCTATCTTGGTTCCCTTTTCAACTATTATTACTGTAGTGTATGAGCTTGTCTCCTCTGACAACGTATTATCTAAGGTAGCTAGTATACGCTATTGTGGGAAATATTTAGTCAGTTTTTCCATAGAGACATCAATCAAAACTAGAGTGTTTATGGAAAGAGAGTAAACAATATACCTTTGGATGGAATCACAAACAGCATCTGATATGACACTTTCCAAACTGAAAGAGATCGACTTCATTGATAGTGTGTCATAGCACATAAATATTGAATGTAGATGGTTATATTGCGCCACCTTAGAAAAAGCTGTGAAATGTTATAAATGTCTACATAAAATGCAAATGATATTGGTATGGGGGTAATGTAAAGAATGTTAGTTTGTGAGAACCTCACACCACATTGGTCTGCTGTCACATTTTGGCAGTCGAGCATGTCACGCAACGACAACTAGCCATGTACATAGTTACTAGCAATTATCCAGCTTCTACATCACTATAATATACATGTATAAGCATATTTTTTCCCCAAAAGAATGTGACACACCTTAATGTACATATGACCTGTTCTGTGTAATTGTTTACACTTACTACACATACTGAAAACTTCCCATGCTGCCATAGCAACGAGCCCACCCATGTGTACTTAGATTGACGATAAGATAGTAATAGGTAACACAACAGCAAGATGAATAAAGAACGCTGGCTTCTCACCTCACGGCAGTGTTTCTTTTACCATTAGTATCACTTCAGAGTAAGGAATGAATGCGTGCTGCACTCTTTCTACATGAGTAGTGCTATATTTGCTCTCAGCTAGAGCACTCGATGAACCTGAAGGGTTGAACACAGAATGGAGACTGCAAGCCTTACCTCACACAACAAACATGCAGCACAACATGCTTCGAACCTCAACAGTTCAGTTAGCACTCAACATCTAAAACTGATTCTGGGAGTTATGTGCTCTCCATGGATATTACAGAGATCCAGAAGGGATTGGAGCATGCAAATTGTGGGAAAATGACTTTTTTCTTCTGTTCTTGCTCTTCCGGACTCAATCCACTCACCACCGTACCTACAGACTCTGTACTGTATGACATACTCTAATTGAGAGCAGCACTACCAGAAGATGTCGTTTTGGCAGTTGTTTGTTCTCTTTTGATATGCGTGTGAGCTCTTACTACCCATTTCCTTGTATATATATTCTAAACTGACGTAGTACACGTGTGCCGGTTTGAAACCGTGTAGGGTCAGCTGTGTTGTGGCCATTGTTGTGAAGGGATTTGCACCTTCCTGTATTTTCCATTTTTCACTTGCTGTGTTTAAATGCACTGACTACGTCTCACTGGCTGAGGTTACAATTGGTGTTGCCTTTTGGTCCGCTAACAGTCTTTCTGTCTCTTTGATTGCTTTCTTTCATAATCAGGCTTACTTCCCCATTACCTATTTGAAGGTTTGTATTCTACTGTCAGATCACCCTTCTTCAATGCGACAATGTGTAATGGAGTGGCCCAAAATGTCCATGATACAAGAGGCACACCGGGGCACTTAGATTTGGAGAAAAGTTTTTATGGAAGTCTAATCAAGATTTCTGGAACTTGGACATATTTTCGCGCTTTTCAACGAGCCTTTTTTGTCTCATCCGCACCTATGACCATGGTGGCAGCAATGCAATAGACTATCTTGTGGCACTCTATCCCCTTGCCTGTTACTTATGCATTTTGTCCTTTGGTTGTCGCTGTTTAACAGTCGTAATGTAAAAAGTTGTCGTCATTTCTCTGGAAACTTTGGCAGATCATATTCTTGAGGCCATGTGTTCGGCCACCTTAACCGCAAAACCATCGCTGATTTGAGTCTTTTGCAAACATTGTATTTTCTGTCAGCCATGAGTGCAGAGTGTGACTTTCTTTGACCCTCTTGTCTGCAACTGGCTCTTTACCTTTTCCCGATGGAACTATCAAGCCAAATTCAAAGCTGTATCTCTTACTCAGCCTGGGGATGTTTGAGTATTTCGGAACACAATCATCTTGGCCAGTAATGCTTCTACTGTGAGTGTTTCTTTCTTTATTTATTTTCCACCCTTTACTTCCAGGGCTGCTTTTTCTTTGTTTTATCCTTGCAATTTTCTTTTACAGAGATTCTTGAACAAATTTGACTGTTTAACTCTTGTCGCATGCGAATACTTCATTGGATGCATTTCAAGGAAAATTTTACAAGGAATGGCACAGAAAAAATACCAAAGATTTTACCGCCACCCCCCCCCCCCCCTTTTTTTTTTTTTTTTTCTCTTTGCACATTTTTTTTCTTGGCCCGCTT